GTGCACCAGGGCCAGCTATGCCGATCCATATTAGTTAGAGTGGCTCGTCAAACAGAGAGGCGACGGGATGACCGAGCCGGGTGTCGGTTCAAGGGGAGCGACGTGGAATTTGCTTCCTTTAAATAAACTGCGGCACATGCGAAGTTGAAGGATTGAACAGGGGCCCCCAGAAGCAAGAGATCAGAAGGCACGTGGAGCAGAAGGGACACCAAAACACACTCGGCAAATGATGCTTGGAACAGAGGGGCCCAGGCGGGGATTGCGCATTACAGGAGGATCGCGGCGCCGGAGATACAATCGCGGACCGGAGAACTGACCAAATAGTCCAATGTGAAAGAAGACGAGAGTTAAAAAGGAGGCGTTAGAAGCACCCTCACTGAGTTTACGCACGTAGTCAGCAGAGACAAGCAAGGGCATCAATGGAAATGTTCAAGCGCGATCACCAAGGAAGGCCCGAGGCGCCAGCCACTTGCGAAAGGTTGGATCACTAGCCCAGATCACGTGGGTTTGAAGGAGAGGATGGAACAAGCAGAGTCTGGGATGACGTCGCTGGAGTCGACCTGACCCCAGAATCGACCACGAAAACAGGCAAGCGGAGGATGAACGCTAGACAGTAGCTGGATCCGCGCCTCAAGGGGCATGCCAGATTGCCAAAAGCAAATGGAATGGCCCACAACCCAAATACAGGACAATACTTGTGGCACAGCAGGCGAGTTCAAATGCTGAGACAGCATTTGCGGCCGCGCCATCGTTTGACGCGCGGACATTATGATTCTCCATGGCCGTCATTGAGCGAGTTGAATTTGAGGATGGGAAAATGAAGCACGGACCCAAGGACGTCATTCACATTCATTCCGCGTACTTACTTCTTTACCCAAGGTCAAGAAGACATCTATGTGAAGTTACCAGTGGAAGAGCATGAGCCAGGCAAACGCGGCAGATTGTTCCAATCAGATCACGGCACCCGTGATGCTGCGAGAAATTGGAAGAGGCGTATCTGGACATTTCTAAGCGAGATGGTATCTCCTCGGGAAGCGCCCCACCCTGAGTGTTCAAACGCGATCGTGGGAGTTTTCGGCCATGTGAGACCTGGGCGGTTTGATCATGTTCGGAGGCGACCCTGACGTCCACTGGCTCGAAGGAAGGAAGGCACAGGAGGGGAACGAGGTGAAGGCGAGAGGGAGGCTGGGACCCAGAAGGAAAGACGAAATCGACCCGGATTCTGGGCCGAATCACGGAGTAGGCCCAGGAAGAATTGCGGATTGAAGTATGGGGCTGGCCAGAGGCATGCAGAACTTTCGCGAGGGAGCTAGGTCTGGATCAGAGCAATGCTACGCCGATGACCCAGCTAACCACGAACGGCGCCGACGTCGACATAACCGACCCAGGGGCCCCGCCACCATGGAGAACATCGCAGTGGAACAGGAAGACCCCCACCAGGAAATCTGCATCGGTTTCGCGTTCGCGTCGCGCGCGCGGGCGTTGCGAAGCTGCGCGGTCGCGCGAGAGGAATGACTTCGCCGTCGCTAGGGCGATTCGGATGTAGTGGACTGGCCCTCCGCCCCCAGCGTGCGCGCGGTGGCCCGGGGTGCCCCGCCGTGGTGTTCCGCGGTGTCCCGTTGGTGTCCCGCCAGCGTTCCGTCGGCGGTGGGCGGGCGGTGGCCAGGGGCGCCCCCGTTTGGCATTGATAGCGAAGTCGATAGTGAGATCGATATTGAGGGCGATGGAACGGGATGCATAGAAAAATCGAAAGTGATATTGACAGCGAGGTCGAGCGCGGCAATGGTTGTGAGATAGAAAGCGGGGACGCTAGTGACATTGTAACGCAGAGGGAGATCGACATCGCGCGTCGTCGCAAAATCGAGGGCGCATCGCCAGCATTGCAATCATCACGCCCATTGCATCCGCCAGCAGCGGGTTCTTTCCTCCCACCACCTGGTCGCATAGTGCGAGGAACGCCCGCGCAACCCAGCTGATAAGCAAAGCAGCCGGTTTAGAGAGGTGAGCGCAATGTTGAGCGATGAGCAAAGCGCGCGCCCAGCTCAGGTAGGCACAGGAAGATTTGGACGCCCCAGGGCCAGCAACCGCGCGGCGTGCGACCAAGGCGATGGCCCAGAGGCAGCCCAAGCCAAGGCCCCAGGCAACGCGATGCCGCGCAAGGCAGCGCTACCTAACTCACCGGGCATTTCGAGCGCGCCAGGCTCTGCCAACCCTCCTGAACCAGCTGAGCCGAAGAAAGCCGAGAGTCGCACTCACCATATCGGCCGCGGCCAATCTCGCACAACGGGGGGAAAGAGCCAAGCTCACCGATGGGAGCGCCAGCGCAAGATGATGCGATGCAAGGTGGGTGGAGGCAAATGTGAAAAGCGCGCCCGTGGACGAATTCGAATCAGAATCGCCGCCCTCAGGAGCGCCCCATCGGGCCTCCTTCGCCGCGCCGCGCACCCTGCCCGATGGGCCGAGACGCCCGCGCACGTGCTCGCGAAATTGCTAGCCCTGACTGTTCGGAGCGGGCTGAGGGGCACTTCGTTGTGGCGCCTCACTTGCACTTGCCGCCTGGCCATCCGAACCGCGCTCTTCATGTTTGAAGGCCGCCGCGCGGGTTTCTTGATTTTGGCGGGGGCAATCAGGAGGTCGCCGGTGACCGCGCCAGGGGCTGGGCTAACAATGACGCATCAAATCGAAGACCTACCCGGCAGCACCACCACGCAGAACGACCGCGCCAGCTGCCAGGACACTGTCAAGAAACGCCACGGCTGCGTTTACTACACGCGGCCCCAGGCTTACCTCGAAGTCCCATCGGAGTGGCGCGACGCGCTCTCGGAGCAGCGCGGGGACGATCGCGATGATGGGGGGCCCCTTGTAATGGGCATTCAGACATGCTTACCCGATGACCCAGAAGCTTGCCTCCCCCTCGAGTAACGAACCACATTACTCGCCCAGCGCACGACTGGCCCACGCCATCTGCATGCCCGAGCTCCGGGGGCGAGAGTGGCAAGGCAACGCCACCAATGCGGCGATAAGTGCTCCGCAGTGACATGACAATCCAGAACGACCATGGTGCCAATCAAGCGTTCGCGGTCGCAGTCAGGTGTTAAAACCGTGGGTTGGCGAACAATTGCACCGACATCGGTGACGGCCTGGAGGTGCTGTGCCACAACTTCGCCGCCGCCATCAGTGAGCCTCACGCATGCGATGCCGCGCTGGCACGCATCTGAATTAACATGGCACTGAACGAAGCTGACTGTAGCCACGCGCGGGCAAGATGCCTTCAGGCAAATGTACACCCAGAGGGCTGATGACCCGTTTCATTGGTATCCCCATATTCGCGGTGCCTGCCCAGAGGGGGCGATTCTCCGGCGGGCCCGAAAACTTCCGCGCGACTACCACATGCGGGCCACTAACCAGCATGGGCGGCCAACCATTTTTCGGGATGGGTACCCAATAAGCGAAGAAAAGACTGCCAATCATGACCAGGGGTGGACTGCGTCGATCTTCTGACGCTCCTATAGCATCCGCTGGGAGTCGCCCGGCCGGTTCTACTGGACTAGCGAGCAGTCCGCCTGTTAGAAACCAAGGACGAATCACGATGATGCCACGGACTTCAGGCACGACAGCGACGAACAGCGCGACGCTTGGAATGGCGACAGCATCGCGGAGGACAACGCGAGGGCGCGCATGACGAAGAGGAAACGCAACCGCGAGGATTGGCACGCGCGCGCTGGCAAGGGAAAAAGGTCCAGGTCGTCATTCGTCAGGGCCAGGAGGACGTGGGTGACAGCGAACCCTCGGACATGTTCCTCGTTCCTTCGTCCCTGAGGCCTGTCGCAAGTTTAACGACGATTGCTACAAGTGAATATGTCTGACAGAGCCGGTGTGGCAAATAAGACAGGAACGAAATCCTGCCATATTGTTGGTCACCTTTTGTACCGCTCTGTCAGTCGCGCCGCGCATAGCATTGAATATGGTGCCCAGCGCGTGATGAACTTTGTGCCCTGTGCACAGAAATCAAGAGTTTGCTCATGTTGCGCATCGGTCAATGTCGGTGCCACGCACTCGCCAGAACCGTTTGCATTCAGGCAAAGCAATAAAAATATTGCACGTAGTTTACCCGACCTGGTACCAGGTCGAGGGGGTGATTCGATATAGGCCCCCATAATACTGTGCAGCGGCCGGCGTTTCGCTCAAGTAATTGCAATCGCCGTTTGGTAGTGTGGCACAGCAGCGTATGTCCGCATATGCCCGCTCATTAAAAGAGAGTTCGATCTTCATTAATAGAGGACGAGGAAAAAAAGGAGACGCTGTCCTCCTCTTCCGTTCCCTCCTCCTCCTCTTCCTTCTTCTTTTTCCTCATGCTCCTGCTCCTCCTCCTCGTCCCCTCGTCCTCCTCATCCCCCCCCTGACTGGCGCAGCGCCACGCGGCAATCCCACAACCTTCGCGCCCTTGCACGGCCCGCGCGCCCGCAAAAGCGCTGCCGAACCCAACCGCTGGAACCAGCTTCGCGCACGCGGGCGGAGGCTCTCTCTGGATGGGGGTTGGAGGGAGGATACCATACATTGACACAACTGGGGAGGGGGGGAGGATACCGCACATTGACACCACTGATGAAGAGGGGGGGGGGGGGCGGCATCGGCGCCGTGTCGATGCGCACCAGCGGTGGCCGCGAGCCACGCACGGGGTTTTTATTCGTATTCCAACGTGCCGCGGCGCTGGAGAGTGGAGGAGGGGCGGGGGGAGAGAAATGTTGGGGAGGACGGGGAGGGCGCTGAAACATTGAAAGGCGCTGCGTCTGCACATGCACTATGCTGTGGAGCTCGGCGCCGTGGCGCGAACGGCCGAACGACCCGTAGCCGACACGGTTCGTTGCCTCCAACTTGCATGTCTCAAGGCGGGCGGCGCAAAGGTTCTACACAGCAGGGGGGGGAAGCACCTCGCCGCCACCCCAGGCTGCGGCGCGCACGGGGCCCCGCGCGCGCCTGCGCGCCCTGCGGACCCGCAGGTGAAGGTCGGCCACGTCCGTTTCGGCAAAGACTGGAGCGGAGTCTCCGACGACGCCAAGGAGCTGCTGGAGGAGGGAGGCGGAGGAGGGGGCGGAAGAGGAGGAGGGAGGCCAGAGGAGGAGGAGGAGAAGGA